GAAGACTTAAATACGATAAATATATAGTTTTATTTCGTAGTAAATATAGTTACGAAATATAATATTATAAACTTAGATATTTATAACTTTAATAAGCCCCCCGACGGAGTAATCCGCCGGGGCTATATTATATATTACGTATTAAGGAAAACTAGGTATATTGCGCTCTATACCTAATTACTAATTAAAATAGTTAACCGATTTAACTGTTATTTTTTTTTATTAATAGCTCCCGACCTTCCCCTACCCGTTTAGAGGGCGAGCTATACTTACTCTAATATATATAAAACCTCTTAATATTAACCTATATAAGTAGTTAGATCCTATATTATATACTCCTTCTTATTAAAAGTTAAGGGGCCCTTTATATATTCTTTTACGTTTATAATATAGCCTATATTAAAAGGATTTTTAGTTTTATAAAATATAATTTCTAAGTTAACGTTAATATACTAAATCTTAATATTCGTATTAGCCCGGTTATTTATAGCGTTCGTATTATTACTTAGCTAGATTTTATATTATTAAAAAGTACTACGCTATTCTTTAAGTATATTTACGTTAGCTATAATAGCTAGGGCGTCGAGGGGGCCTAATTTATTAAGCCCTAAAGAGGGGGACTTATCGAGGGGTATTTTTAAAATAGTAATTTATATATTAATAAGTTCGTTTAATAAGTTCGTTTAATAAGTTATTTAATAAATTTATTTAGTTTAAATAGAGAGTAGTTTTAGGTAATATTAAAAATAATAAAGATAAAAAGAATCTTTACGAGCTTTAATATACTAAATATTAGCCCTTTTAGCCCTTTTTTTAAAAACCTCTACGTTATTATTAAAATTTAGAACCTCTATAGTTAAGGGCCGCCTCCGACCTTTACGGCCGACCTCTATTATTAACTTTTCTAACTAGTACTGCTATAGGGTAGCTTACCTATCCCGAATTATATAATAATTTTTATATTAAAATTATTATATTACGTTAAGCGCGTACTTAAGGTATATTATATATATTATATAGTTAAAAAGTATACCGTATTATATAATTTTTTTTAAAAGCGTAATCTTATTAAGGTCGATCTTTTATACTTATAAAGCTAGAAAAAAACTACTATATAATTTTAATAAGACTAGTTTTATAATAAGCTAAATTATATTTAGAATAGTTATATAGTAGTTTTTTTTTTTAGCTTTATAAGCGTAAAAGATCGACCTTAATAAGATTATACTTTTAAAAAAAATTATATAATACGGTATATTTTTTAATTATATAATACGTATAATATACCCTAAGTATGCGCTTAACGTAATATAGTAATTTTAATACGAAAACCGCTATATAATTCGGGATAAGTAAGCTACCTTATTATTATAGCTAGCTAGTTATAATAAGTATATTAATAAAAGTTAAGGCTATGAGTACTAAATAAATAGTATTATAATCGTAAATAGCTTCCCTAAAGCTATGTTTATAAATCGTAAAGTAAATAAGGCTTTAGTAATTAATTATAGTCTTATTAAAAGGGGTTCTTAATAAAAATAGCTAAAAGTAATTATAAAATTTAATACTAAGTTAATTATTAAAGAAGCTATAAGAAGTCTATCCTTAAGCCTAGCTTAAGTTTATATTATATATAAGTTTTATTTTTAAATATATCCTTTATAGTATTCTTATTTATTATTATTTAATTATTTATTAAACGGTTATCCGTTTTATTTATTTATAATCGTCCGTTCTATTTATTTATAAGTATTCGTTCCTTATTTTATTATATAATCGTAGTTACGTAACTTATTTATAATTCTTTTGTTTTAAAAGGAGTTATCTTAAGTCCGTATTTTTATATATATAATATAATAGCTATTATAAGTCCTATAGGGCAAAGCCCTAGCCTTATTATATATATTAAGTTATAATATTAGCTTCTTTTTTTAAAAATCTAGTCTTCTAGGCTTATAAATAGGTCGTTTATTCCTAAGTTAGGGAATCGTTAAGTATTTTTTTAAAATATATTAATACGATATTAGGTCGAATTAAAAAATCGAAATTTTTAATAGCTACGTCTTATTATAAATTATTATATATTATTCGTTTTTTTAACGAAAGTATAAAAATAATACCTTATTTAAATTATTATTTACGAAGGGTCCGTTATTTAGTTTTTTTTAATTCTAAGGTTTATAAAATATATTATTATTTAAGTATTTTATATAATACGTTTATTAATACTATTTATACTCGTATATATTACGTTTTTATTTATTAAATCTTAATTAACTAAGTATAGTTAGTTAGTTAGTAACGGAGTTTAATTATTTTAATTATAAAAAAGAGGTAGAAAAGTTACGGTTTTAAAAGAGGGCTATAAAATTATAAAAAAAGGCTAAGGCTTATTAATAAGCTTAGGTTAAGTTAAATAAGTTATTATTTAAGTTAGAGCGTCTTCGTTTTTAAAAATAAATAGTATTTAAAAAGAGTTAAGTTATATTAGAGGAGTTTTTTAAAGATCTTAAAAATACTTCTTTAATAGCCCGTAAAATATAAACTAACAGTATTTTTAAAATTATTAATTAGGATATTATAATAGTTAGGAGTTTTAAATTTAATTTTAATTCTAGTACTCCTTAAGAAGTTATTAAGAGTTTTAGAAATTCGTAATAAGTTCTTATATATTTTCTTTATATCCGTAGTTTTTTTATTTAATAAAATATTCCTTCTTATTATTTTTTATTTTATAGTTAATAATTTATTCGATTTTATATTTTAATTAGTTTAGTTTAATAATAATATAATTTTCTATATATAAACCTTTTAATATAAACTTAAGTAATAAAACGTAAAAAATATAGTAATATCGTATTATATTTAGTAATCTTAATTCGTAATTAACTAATAAGATTTTTTTAATAATTTTAAAAAGTCTAAGTTTTTTATAATTTAATTTATTACTTAGTTATTTTATTTTAATATTATAATAAAAGAAATAAGCACTATCCTCCTTTTTTAAAAATAGTCCTTTAATTTTTAATCTATTTACGTTCTTTTTTATACGCTATTATATAAACTCGAAGTTTAATAAAGCTTATTTATAAATTTCTTTAAATTTACTTACGTTTATTATAGCTTTTATAGTTTATAATCCTTATCGTACTTCTCTATATATTATTAATTAAAATCCGTAATTAAGGTAAAACGGGGATTCTTTCGTACTTTTACTAACTATATTATTATATACGAACTAAGCTATTAATAAGAGTACTACTTAATTATCTTAGTTATAGTTTATATAATAACGAAAGTATATTTTAAGGATCTAGTTAATCTTTTCTATCTATTTATCGGTTTATAAATAAAATAATATTAATAGTTTATAGTTTATACCGAGTTACGAAATTAGAGATTTTTAAAACTTTAAAATAAATAGCTTATTTTTATTAAAAATAATTTTTTTTAGTAAACCGTAATTTAAAAATATAACCTTAATAAATATATATACTAAGTCTTCTATAATACTTAATTCTTTATAGGGAATAAAATACGTAAACTTAGTAAGTTAGTTAACTATAATTAATATATTATCGTACTATATTTTAATAAATAGTTCTCTAAACTTTAGTAATTTAATAATAAAGTCCTATATAATTAAATATTATACTTTTATTAATAATTATAGTAATTATAGCTCGCTATAAGGTTTATATAGGCTATTTTTATTTTTTTTATAAGTTACGTAGTCCTTAATTATTTTTATAATTTTAGTACGTATAGCGGATTTATTATAATATTAGTAAATCTGTTTTTATATTTTAATAACTCTTTAGTAACTATATATTAGTATATTATAAATTTTTATAATAAGCTTAGGGATTATTTTTTTAATCGGGCTAGTATTAATTTTTCTAGCTATTATAAAAAGCTTTATAATTAATATAAAGCTATTATTATTTTTTTTATTTAAAAATAACTTATATTTCTTTAGGGATTACGATTTCGTAATTAGGTCTTTTATTAAGAGCGTTTACTTTATTATTTTTTAAACCCTTTTAGTAAATAATTCAAAAATTAAATTTAAATAGGAATTCGCTCTATTTAACTTATCGTTTATTTAAGTTTTTATTTATTATAAAGTTTATAAAGTTTTTATAATCTATATAAACTATAACTTCGTACTTAGTTCTAGATAACTATAATCTCTATTTTTAAAATACTTTAATAATAGTTATTAGTTCTTTATTATAAATTTACTAATTTAATTCTATTTTATAAAATACTTTAAAATAAAAATAATATAAATAAAGCTTTTTTTACTTATCTTATTATCTTAAGACCGCTTTTATAGTAAAATCTAAGGTATTAGTCTTAATTTTAAAAGGTTTTTAGAGGTCCGGGATTATAATAACTAGTTTAAAAACGACTATATTCTTAACTTTAATAAATACTTCTTTATACTTAGGATTTTAAATAAATAGGGTATCCTTTTATATTAAGTTATTAAAAAGTCTAATTATATTAATATAGTTTTTAAAGAATTGTTAATAAAAATTAACAAATCTTAAAAATCTTTATATATCCTTAATATTTTATAATATAGGCTAGTCCCTAATTACTTTTACTTTTAATACTTATATATAAATTTATTTTAATATAATAATATATCTAAAGAAGTCTATTTTTTATATATAGAACTTATATTTAGAAAGTTCGGTATATAACTTAGTATTTTAAAGCTTTTAAAATACTATATAAACGTACTTTTTATATATTTTAAGATCGGGAGAGAAAATAAGAATATTATTAATATAAATAATAATAAAGATATTAACGTATTCCCGGATTACGTAATTAATTATAATTTAAAAAGTTACTAGGGTATTAATAAGTCTAAAAGGTATAATAAAGTACTTAAAAAGTCCTCTACGAATTTGAAATACTATTTTCTATTCGTCTCTTTTTTTAATTTAAATCTAATTAAATATTTCTTTAAAATTTATAATAATAAACTAGTTAGCTCTGTAAAATAGATCTCTAAGCTTAGTAATAAATAATAAAAGATAGTAATTCTTTTTTACAATTTCGTTAAGTCTTTTATAATTAATAATTAGTCTTCGTTTCTTTATTCCTTTTTTTAATACGAAAAATAAGAGTAATTTTATAATAGAATTCGATAGTTAAATAAGTCCTTTTTTAAGTTTCTTATTAATATATTCGTTAAGATATTCTTATTTTTTTTAATTTATTAAATATATTAAAAAGAACTTAAGTTATGTTCTTTTTTTAAATTCGATTTTTATATCCTAGTTACTATATTTTAATAATCCTATTTTTTTAGGTTTTATAAATAGTTTTATATATATTTAGTACTCTTTAAGTATAATTTAGAGTTATTACGATCCCTAATTATTAATACTAGTTATAAACTTCTTAAAGCTTTTTACTATCCTAATAAAAGCTATATATTATATTTATTCTCGTTTTTTAAAAGTTTTTAAAAATCCGTTTAAACCCTTTTTTTTTAAGTCGTTTAATAACTAAATTTTTTTAAAGGACTTAGTTAGTAATCTAATTTATTTATAAGTTATACTTTCGTAACTATAAAATTCCTAAACTAATATCGATATCTCCGATCTTTATAATATTGTATTATAGTTATTTTTACTAATTATTAATATATATCGAGAGGTATACGGTTTCTTAATTAATATATTTATAATTATAATTAACTCGTTCTCCTTTTACCGTTTATAATTAATATAAGTTATTTTTTTATACTTATAATAAATTAAGTTTATTTACTATTTTTAATAAGATATAGGTTTTTTATATATTATTATTAATAATAGTATTTAATCCTCGTTTATAAATATCGAAGTTAATTTATAAATATACGTCGTTACGTTATTTAGTTATATATAAGAACTTTTTTTTTATTTTTACTTTTCGTTATTCCTTTATAATTAGCTTTTTTAGTTTTTTATTATATGCTTTTTTTATTAAGTACTTTACTTATATAATTCTTATTATTTTCTCTAAGCCTTAGCTTTTTTAATATAATAAACTTAGTATTAGTCGTATTTATAATCTTTTTATTTTATATATTTATTATTAAAGTACTTTATAAAAAAGCTAGGGTCTAAGCTAAATATTATTTTATTATTATTATTAAAGCTTAGTAACGTCTAGCTAAGTAGTTAGTTTTTTATATAAATATCCTTAATAAGTTTATTATTATATTTTTATAAATAAAAGCGACTATTTTATTTATATACGAGGTATTAAAAGTATTTATTATTTAAGTACTTTACTTAAAATAATTCTTTATAAAAGGGGTCTTTAGGGTTAAGTAAAAAGTAATTTTTATTTATATAGGGGGTTATTATAATTTTTTTATATTCTTTAGTTTTATAAAACTAAATAGTTTAGTTATCCTTAAATAAATAAATATATTTATATTATAGTTTGTTATTATTTTTTTTAAAGCTAGTATTATTAATATTAAGTAGTATTTTATAATTAATCTCTATTTAAGTACGTTATCGGGCGACGTTACGAGGTTCGTTTAAATTATAAAATAATTCTATTTTATTAAAATAAAAGGAACTAATTCCTATTTTAATATCTTTTTCCTTAAGGTTAAAGTTAATTTTTCTTTTTTTAATAACTCCGAAATTAAAAATCGGTTTCTTAAGTACTTCGATCTTATTTTTATATAAGAGGTCTTCGAGCTACTCCTTAATTTTATAAATAAATTTTCTATTACTATTTACTTTTTATATTATATAAATAAACTTAGTTAGGATTTTATTTAAATCGAGTTTTTTTTTAAACTTAATAAATTATTTCTAATTTATATAGTCTCGTCGTATTATATAAACGAGGCTACTTATAATTTTTTTAGTATTAGGTCCTCTTTTTTTAAATTTAAAAAGTTATTTTTTTATATTAACTAGGAGTTTTTACTTAATTCGTTCTTTAAAAAAGTAGAGTATGTTTTTTATAACGGGGTTTATTTTTACTTTTTTTTTTATATTTTTATAAATCTAAGAGAGCGTAATAATATATTTAATATTATTTTTTTTAAAAATATAGGGTTAGTAAGTAAATATCCTTTTTTCTTTTATTATTATTATATTACGACCTAATATATATAACTAAAACTAGGGCCCGCCCCGTAGGCTTATAGCGGCTACGGTATATTATATATATAAAAATACGGGAATATAAGGTAACTCTTACGGAACGAAAGAACTATAAATAAGTTACGTATAAATAAGAAGTAGTAATTACGTAATAAAATAATTATTATAATTACTCTAAGTAAGCGCTTATTAATATTTACTAAGCGATTACTTAACGAATAAGAGTAATTATTAATAAAGGATATATTTATAAGCGGACTTATATATAATATAAACTTAAGCCGGGCTTAAGGATAGACTTTTATAGCTTTTTTAGTAATTAACTTAGTATTAAATCTTATAATCGCTTTTAGCTATTTTTATTAAAAACCCCTTTTAATAAGCTTATAATTAATTACCGAAGCCTTACTTACTTTACGATTTATAAATATAGTTTTAAAAAAGCTATTTATAACTACGATACTATTTACTTAATACTCGTAATTTTAATTTTTATTAATATATTTACTATAACTAGCTAGCTATAATATTTTAATTACTCCTATTTAATAAGTTTACTTTTTAAAAAACTAATTAAATAGTACGAATATATTAACCGTTAATAATAATAATACGGCGCAACTTACTAAGGTAACTATACTTACTATTTAATAATTATATAATATAATACTTAAACTTAAAAATAAAAACGAATAACTTTACGCTTAGCTTATAGCGCCCCGACCTCTTTTAATACTTAGAACTAAGTACCCTAAACCGGAACCTTATAACGGGTCCCTAAATACTTTTTAAGGATTCCTTACCCAAACTAGGGCCTACTTACGCTACTACGGGACCTCTTTTATTATTAAAGTAAATAAGGTCTATTACGTAGCTTTATTTTTTAAAAAAGATACCCTTATTTAGTTCGAACCCTTTATAAAAAACTACTTTAAAAACGAACGTAATATCTAGGATAAAAATACTAAAAATTTTTTCGATAACTATAACGAGTTTAAAAAAAAACTTAAAAAAACCTTCGGTAACCCCAATAAAGAACGAATTACTAAACAAAAGCTTATAACCCTTATATAAAAAGGGTTAGTTAGTAAGTATATTTCTAAATTTAAATAGATTATCTCTAAGCTTAATTAAAGTAATAAAGTACTTATAATAACTTTCTATCGCGGCCTAAAAAAAAAAGTTAAGGATAACCTCTTTTATTAAGACCGACCCGATAAACTTTATAATTATATCGATATAACTATTAAAATTAATAATCGACTCTACGAACGACGCCTTAAATAAAAAAAATAGAATACTTAGAATAACCGAGCTAAACCTAATAGTAAACGTAAATATAAACTAATAACTACTATAATAGAGTATTATAGCGGACTAATAAACCTTAGCGTTACTAAAAAAGAATAACCTCGCTAAAAAAAAGATTTTAAATATTATAATTATAATAAACTAGGATATATAGCTAGAAACTATTAATAACCTAAGCGTATTTAATATTAACTTATTTTAAAAAAACGAGCTAATATCGTAAGTAAGGAAACCCCCTATAAATAACTCTTATAAACGGCTTACTACGACGATAATTATCTTACTTATTAAAATAGTAAAGAATAAATAGGATAGTACCTAAAATAACCTAAAGATAAGGGACGATCTAATACTATACTATCTATTAGGACCTTAGTAATAATAATAAAAAAAAAAAATATCCGCCTACTAACCCTATACTCTTAAAAAAAATAATATTAAATATATTACTACGCTCTCTTAGATTTATAAGAATATAAAAAAAAAGGCTAAGATAGACCCTATTATAAAAAACACACTTTATTTTCTTAAAAAACGAATTAAATAAAGACGCTTAGCTAATATAAAAGAGTAGCTCCTTAAATTTAAAAAAAGAAGACCTAATATTAAAAAAATTATAAGTAGCCTCGTTTATATAGTACGACAAAACTATATAAATTAGAAATAATTTACTAAGTCTAAAAAAAGACTCGATCTAAATAAAATCCTAACTAAGTCTATTTATATAATATAAAAGGTAAATAGTAATAAAAAATTTATTCGTAAAGTTAAAAAATAACTTAAAAACCTCTCGCGTAAAAATAAAATCGAAATAATTAAAAAACTAATTTTTAACTTTAGAATTATAAAAAAAAAAAAATTAACTTTAACCTTAAAAAAGAAGATATTAAGATAAGAACTAGTTCTTTCTATTTTAATAAAATAGAATTACTTTATAATTCGGACGAACTTCGTAACGTTACCTAACGACGTACTTAAATAGAGATTAATTATAAAGTATTACTTAGCGTTAATAATACTAATTTTAAAAAGAACGACGACGAACTATAGTATAAGTATATTTATCTATTCGAGGATAACTAAACTATTTAGTTTTATAAAACTAAAAAACGTAAAAAGGTTATAATAACCCCCTATACGGACAAAGATTACTCTTTATTTAACCCCGAAGACCCCTTTTATAAAAAATTATTTTAAGTAAAATACTTAGATAATAAATGCTTTTAGTACCTCGTATATAAATAAAATAGTCGCTTCTATTTATAAAGACGTAATAATAAGCTTATTAAAAATATTTATATAAAAAACTAACTACCTAGTTAGACGTTACTAAGCTTCGATAATAGTAATAGAATAATATTCGGCCCAGACCCTAGCTTTTTTATAAAATACTTTAATAGCGAATATATAAAATAGGAAGACTATAAGTATAACTAATACTAAGTTTACTATATCGGAAAAGCTAAAGCTTAGAGAGAATAATAAGAACTATGTGAATAAGGTATTTAATAAAAGAAACGTATATTAAAAAACTAAGAAAGCTAATTATAAAGGAACGACGAAAAGCGAGAATAGAAGAAAAGTTCTTATATATAACTAAATAATATAATAACGTATATTTATAAGTTAACTTCGATATTTACGGACGAGGATTAAACGCTATTATTAATAATAGCGTATAAAAAAGTTATATCTTATTAAAAATAGTAAATAAACTT